AGACACTACTGGGTGAGTAACTACTTGAAGATGCTCACTCAGGCACCATAAGAGGCACGTTGACCCTAGGTTGCTACGCCTCTTACCTTAGGTGTGCGCTTTGGGGTCGCTTCAACAACACTGGCTGTAGGGGACTTTGGCCATAATGAATCATTTGGAAGGGTTTTCTTGTTGTTTCTTCTTTTGTTATTTGGTGGTCCCCTTCTTAGTCTAGCGCACCAATCTTCTCCTTTATTTGGAAGGTTAAATTCCCTTCAAGTTTTTTATGTGGCAGATTTTTCATGATAGAGTTAATACTTTGGATGGTATAGTGTTGTTAATGTGACCCTGACGCTCGCCTATGGCAAGGGGTGAGGTAAACAGTTGGGGAGAGTGAATTAATCAGGTCTTCGCCCCACTTTGCCTTTGGTTGCTTGGCATTGCCTTTCCCATGGTCGAAGGCATGTGCTTGATTCAATTAACACCATTTCTTTTCTTTTCTTTTTTTATACAAATATGCTTATAGCATCGGAACCTATGAACTTAGGTATGTAAACCCACGAAAAAAGGTATCTAAACTTTTCCTTTGGTTGGAATCTATCAAGCAGGTATTCCTTTACATGCTATTTGGTTAAGAAGTTTTCATATAATGCTTGAAGCTGTAGGTCAATTCGTCCTGGTTTGATACCTCCTTATCATGAGGTTATAGTAACTTGGTTGAAAAAGGAAGTAGAATTCACAAAAAAATCTAATGAGTAGTCATGAGGTTGAAGGCAAAAGAAAAGGTTCTTCTTTGATTGATATCTGAGGGGTGGCCTAATAAAAGAATAGGACTCTAATAAATTTTGTTGTTCATTCTGTTGCAAGAACATTGTTTGTGGAATCCATTGATGCACCTTCATGCATTGAAGTCGAAGGAAGGTATTTGAACTCTTGGATGAAATGTTGAGAAGATTGGAGAAGAAAATGTAATCCAAGCTGTGACTGATAATGCCTCAAAGTATATCATAACGGAAGATGTTAGGGAGCAAAACACACTCATATTGGGCACCATATGCACCTGTTTAGATTTGATTTTAGAAGATATTGGAAAGATTGATCAAATTAAAAGATATTTTAAAAGGGTTGGGACACGTAATGGTTTTATTTCTAACCACTTTGTATGTACTCGACATAATGAAAAAATTCATGAATCAACATGAATTTTTAAGACTGACCATTACACGTTTTGCTACATCATTTCTCACCTTTTTCAAGTATTCATAGGAATAAATCTAGTTTGAGTAAGATGTTTATTTTTTACACTATCACGTATTCTGGGTGTGAACTCCGTATAGACCAGCCACTTGGGACGACCCATATATAAGACTCCTAATCGAATGGCACTAGCTGAATTGACAAAACTAAGGTGCAATGGGAGGACTTCTTGATAATGGATTAATTTTCCCTAGTGTGTTTCCTCGGGGTGCTCTAGTTTTGTTCATGAAGAGAAAGGATGGTTCAGTGAGGCTTTGCATTAGCCAATGGGAGTTAAACAAGGTGTTTTTTTGTTGGCTTAATTAAGGAGCTCCAAGCTTAAACTTCTTTGGCTTGATGTCATCCCATATTGGGTGATCTCCTAGCTCTTTGGCATGGAGCAATCCCATGTTGGATGATCTCTGACCAATTTTCTTAAAAAACGTGTAAGTAAGACCAAAGTATGTTGTAAGAGTTGTGCTAGTTTGAAGGGACAAACTTTACTCTCGCAAGCAACTCAAGACAGAAAGGTGATGTGGCAAGTCATTGAGGATTCCATGGCTAGGTGCCAATTTCAGATTTTAAATCCTCGGCCTGAGATGTTACAAGAAGAGAAGTAATTCAACGTTTAGTTTCTATAATTGATGCATAAGAGGATAATTCTACTATGATTCAAGAAGATTGTCAGCTTTAGTAAAAGGGCATGAATTTCTCCTTTTTTATCCCTCCAATTAGTATTAGCTTGAAGGAAGAATTTAGGGCTGTTTATTTGGTGGGAATCTAAGATTTCCATAGGATGGCTATCGAGATTCTTGCATTTGTTTCATAAGGAATGTTTAGTGGGAATCTAAGATTCCCCTAGGATGCCCACATGGAGGCATCTAAGCAATTTTGGGTATCCTCTTGAATCATGGATATTTACCATCCTCATATGACACTCTTTATCCTTTGTTCAGCTTTTTTGTTCGACAGTGTTTGACATGCAAAAAAAAAAAAAAAAAGGTATCCTATTTTATTTTTATTTTTTTAAATTTTAGACATGTCAATGACATGTTCTGAGTACTTAGGGGTCATGCTGACACATCAACCTAAAAACATTGACAGATAATTGAGTTAGAAAAATACATTTAACCCTGCTCCTTATTGCATGCCCAGGATGCAGAGACAATTTGTGGTATGCGGCAACACTAATATTTGTTAGATAACCTATCACATCTAGGTGTTAGTTGAGAATTGTATGTTTTTCATGAATTTGTTTTTGACAGTGTTTGTGTCGGACTTGTCGTGTCCCTTAAAAAAAATTGGGCATGTGGCTGACACGCCATATTAACATTTAAATGGTACATCAAAAACCCAAACCTTTCAAGCAGTCAGTAACGGTGTTAGTCAGAGTGAACTGGCGACAAAACAGTGGTGTTGGTCAAAGTGGCAGCAATGTTGATTGGAGTAGGAGTATTGGGTTTAAGTGTGCTCATATGGTTTGCTGGGATTTTTGTACCATTTAGATTTTAAACTATATTCAATGGGCATTTAAATCTTCATTTTATTTTTAATAGCTAAAAAAAATTAAAGTATTTTGGATTTGATGTTTTAATATTAACTAAAAAAAAACATAAAAGAAAACAACATATCCCTAACGTGTCCGTGGCTTACATTTTTCAGAAATTGACATGTCGTCATTGTTTGTATCTGTGTCGTATCCGTGTCCCATGCCCGTTCCTCTTAGGTCTTATTATATTGTTTAGTTGTCTAAAAAAATACATCCCATGTTTATCTTTACCCTTGTTTATGCAGCCTTTGTAATAAAGCATGGTAAAACTGATAACACCTCTTTTATTTGCTAGTTCATCAAGAAGTTTTGGTACTACTTTTCAGTGGATTTGATCTTTTTTTGGTGTCTTCATAACAAATTAACATATTTTTAGCAGTACTGGTTGCTCGCACTATATGTGGTGATAGGAGTCCAAAAAGTCCTTGTTAGAGTGTTTGTAGGGTAATATCGTGAATATTATTAGGGTACTGCCAAGGCGTATTTATACTTGAGTTTTTAAGAGTTGAGGGTTATACGTAGGAGTTCCAAGGGTTGGAGGGAAGCGGAGTTTTGGGATTAGTGTTATGTGAGAGAGATAGCCCTCTCAAAAGGCCATATTAGCCAATCTATTTTCTTTTTTAGTATGTTATAGTTATAATTTTAGTCTTATTTTCAACGAGGAAAAGAGGGGTTGACTCGGGACCGTGTGAAGAATGGATACACAAATACAGCTAATTGTCAGTGTCGGACACATGTTGAACATGTCTAAAACACTGAAATTGAGTGTTCAATTTTTTTTAGTTGACTCGGGACCGTGTGAAGAATGGATACACAAATACAGCTAATTGTCAGTGTCGGACACATGTTGAACATGTCTAAAACACTGAAATTGAGTGTTCAATTTTTTTTAGTTTTGGACACACAGATACTTTCTGGATATGTTTAGCGAAAGAAACTTTGAAGGAAGAAACAAACCCAAACCCAGATGACTTAATTAGAATTGTAATGGTCAAAGAAAAAGAACCAACTATGAAAGAAAAGTTGAAACATCAAGTTGCTTGTCGTGGCTATGCACCTGATAAATCACCACATTTTATAAACCATGCTTTGCAGGAATAGCAAGTCTTTTAGCTGATACCTTTGTTTTGTTTGTTTTAACAAGTAGTTTGGTTGCTTGCCATGAGCAAATTAATAGCCGTATAGTTTTTCCTTGCATGTATTTCATATCTTTGTTATGAAAGGATAAATTATTTGCTGTTTTCTCCAGGAGGGCCAAGATTAATTACAACTGATGGAGAAGCAAGCTGTGTTGAGGTTGAATGGATGTGAAACCGTAATTTTACTTGGGATTGTTTAAACTTCCGTTTCTTATGTTTGGATTTCATTGTGTAATACAAACGTTTTTGCTTGTAGACATTATATGTCATCTCCATTCACGCTGCAGATTTTTGTGGGCATCTGTAACTTTTTCCTGTTGCTAATATTGAGCTACGTAAGCAGGAGAGGAAAAAAAGGAAATCAATAAGTACTCTTCTTGCAACCCCCATGTTATTTATTAACTAATACTTTGACAATCGCCTTTTCTAGCATGCTTTAGGCAGTTTGATGGCTTGAAGCAGTGGGAATGAGGGAGGTGTAACTATAGGAAGTAAAAATGTTGGACAGTTTACACCAAGATATAGCTTGGTAAACAACATTGTCGAAAATTTTTTTAGGTCGGTATCTTTTCTGCAAATATTCTTTGATTTCTTTCTTTCCACTGATTTTAAAAGTAAGCTATGATGAGGTTTTTCTATAGTAGGGCTTTTGCATTCTTTCACGTTAAGGATACCCAAAAGTTCCTTTACCTCCCTAGGAAACCGAATATATTGAGAATTATTGTCTAGAAATTCTCAGCGCATGTGCATTGCATAAACAAATGGTTTTGAGATTCGTTTTCTTTCTTGCATAAATGGACACTAAGAGCAAGGTAAGACATTCTTTTTTGAAGATTTTCAGTGTGCTAATAGGTTTAAGCACTTTTTTGAACTTCACTTTTTTAGGTTGATGTCCTTTCTATATTGTCTTTGTTAGTGTGAGATTTTTTGCTTCTACGTTTTTTTTCTTTCATGTCTATCATCAATGATTTTGTAGAAAAGATCCCGTCAGTGCTTAGCCTAAAAAATACGTACATAGGATTAGCTACACCATTGCTGAAATGCATAAAAGTGAGCCATCTCCCTTTTAGGTGGGTTATCCTACACCATTGCTGAAATGCATAAAAGTGAGCCATCCCCCATTTAGGCGAGTTGGAACCCAAGTAGCACCAGTTAGCTACTTCATTTATTACCTAATTACCTATGCACTTGCCTCAATATTAGTTGCAACCAATCCATCATGCAGCCAATTTCTTAGCATAAGAAAAGCCTGCTCAGCATCTTCATCTTCTTCTGGAGATCCAGGTTTGTGAACAAAGCCATGGCCTCTTCCCCCAAATATCACCAACTTAGAACCTTCTCCCATCCCTTTCTCCAAATCCTTCATGACACTCACTGGACAAAGTGGGTCGTTGTCCCCTGAGATGAGCAATACTGGAACCTCGACTTTGGTAGCCAGAGATGGATTCACCTCAGTACCATATAAGGAGGCGCCAATGGAAAAATAGGAACCCTGGTCTTGAGCTAGAACGTCGATTACCCGGCCTCCCCCGTACCCAAACCCTACGATCCCAAGCTTCCTCGAGATCCCTGCTGCCAAAAACTCATCAACCAACCATTTTGTTGCTGCTCCTATGTCTTCCACAGCCTTTTGTTCCTCACATGAATCTCCATGAAATACATCTGGAAGCAAGACACTGTAGTTCAAGTTGAGCAAACATTAAAAGCCTGATTAAAGTGCTTATAGGTAAGGAATACATCTCACATGAGTCTTTTTAGGAGCCCAAAGTAAAACTATGAAAGCGTCAAAGTGAGCAATATCATATTATTGTGGAGAGTTGTGGTTCATAACTAAGATATGGATCATAATGAAAAAGCTGGACGGGAGCATAAAATTAGACAACATACTTGAAGCCATTGCAAGCGAGACGATAGGCGAAGTCTCGAACAGAAGAGTCTTGAAAGGAAAAGAGATCCGTCAAGAGCAGAATAGCTGTTCCATTATTGTTCTTGACTGCCTTGAAGAGATGTGCAGTGATTGAATGGTGAGCTTCTTCTCCAATGGAAAGCTCCATTCCACTCACAAGCTCACAAGCCTCCTCCGCGTCTATCTCATCCTTCACTCCCTCTGCGCTGTAACACACCTTGCCTCCCTTTTTCTCTCTCTTGCCCTTCAACTGCCCAATATTATTGCTAATCGGAAAAGCACATCGGAAGGAAGGTTGAAATGGGATCCCCATGCGTCGGCCACTTCTCCCGGTCGGTGGGGCGGAAATCCACTGAGCTCCGGCGGAGGCCGATCCCATTCTCTCTCTCTCTCTCTCTCTCTCTCTCTGTAGCCAAGAGAAGATTTGCAGTGCAAAACAAATATCTTTCATTTTGGCCCCTACAAAGTACAAATATCCCATTGGGACCCAAAACCCACAAACACAGCCTATTAGTTTGGATGTAAATCCACCAATTTCTTATCTTCATGCTTATCTTCTTCCCTCCTCCAATAAGGCCCAAGTCTAGACTATTAATATCCTGTCCAAATATTAGTATATTATTGTTCATTTACCATATGAACAAGAGACATCCAACCTGGTTAAAACGGTTCTACTTCTACTCATGTTCTAACATATTAAAGAATCTGCTAGGGTCACACAACTCGTATATTCAATCTAGATGAAAGAACATAAAGACACAAGGAGAAATATACAGAATTCCATACTCGAGCTCATAAATACATATAGAATTATGTGGAAAATCGTATTCGATGAAAGTCGTATGTATGGCATGGAGGGAGATCTTTCATATCTTTCGATATCCTCCCTACAATATGGGGTAAAAAAAGCCAAAATAAATGATTTTAGCCCTTATAAAAACGGATTCTTGAACTCCTTTCACACTCATGTCACGTCGAGGTACTACAGAAGAAAAAATTGCAAAATTTGATCCAATTTATCGTAATGGATTAGTCGGTAACACCAAAATGGTAAACTCTATGACGACTAGGGGTTTATATTAATGATTTCAATCACAAAGAATCCATCTTAAAAACTACGTAGGAGAATATGTAAGAGTTTGTCTTAAAAGACCCTATTTTTCTATTAAAAATAGGATCGCCACTACATGCATAAGAGACTAATGTGTGCAGAAAACATGCATTTAAATTTTTTCATAAAAAGTGTCATGGACTTAATATTCAAAATAAATATTTTAAACCAACGTAGTCTTAACTAGCAAATCGGAAAGTAAATATCATAATTTAAATAAAATAAACAAACTCTAATCTATTAAGGACTACTAAATATACATAAATGTGACTACCCTGACGGCTCCATGACCTTCATTGTGATGTTGTCATTCGTATATGAGTGCCTTATCTTTATCTTAGAAATAAGAGTGGCATGTGGTCTGAGTATGTTGAGAAATATTAAGTAAGTAGTTCCACTGTTGGGGTCGAGAAATGTAAATACATGCAAAATGATGAGACCTATATTTATAAAAATATCATGGTAGGGCCTTCGACAGCTTTCCAGTCTAGGCAAAGTTGAATGTATAGTACTTTACTACATACGGCCCACGCATTCGCATATGGGCCCACCAGGCGGGTTCATGTACCCCCTAGACCTAGCTTGTCGGGCTAGAATTTGCCAACAAGTTGTCGGACACCACAGAGGAAAATGGCCCGCATAACATAATGGTGAACATAAATGTCGTAAAATACGCATCCACACTAATCATAATATAGAAGTATCCTATTGACACACATGAATGCATGAGGTCTCCATATCTTAAAATCATGACATAAATTTATGATGCAAGTCGAACCACCTTCATTTATAACATAATGAGTATATGAATCATGCATACATAATTCCTCTCACACCTTTCGTACCTAACATAGCTTATATGACATGATGTATGGAGATTTATGCATCATAGATTATCAACATCATAACATAATTCTACAACGTGACATGGTCACAAATAGCATAACATAACACAACCATCATAATTATGACATGTGCAGGGGCCACAAGGCACGCATCATCATACATCATATAATTCATCCAACCAATCATCCGTATATCACTTATTTTATTGGTTTAAGACACAGTTACTAAATATCTTTAGAACTAGCCCAAATCTACTCCGGTCTGATTTAACCTATATAGGTCTACGACATTAAGTTAAAAAACATTATCACGCTTAACTCACCTAGAGGTACGAATGATTCATTTTTCAGATAAAAAATAATTTAAATTGACCAAATATGGGTAATATTAATGTTTTTTTAGGTTTTTTTTTTATTTTTTTACCATAACTAAACAATATAAAATAATGGATTTGTAAATATTTAAGTAAATTAGTATTTCTTTTATATAAAAACAATACATTCATCATAACTTTCCCCGCAAGCAGAGGGCGCCCTTCCCTTTCTTCTCCCTTTCTCTTTGCCGTCTCCAATTTCTCTTTGCCGCCGCCGCCCCTCCTCCCTCTCTTCACTCCCTATTGTTCAACGATTTGCCGCATCGGCGCCACCCTCTCCGTATCAACCTCCTCCGCTCACACCCGGACGCTAGTAGGGTGAATCGTTGGGTCGGTTTCCAGTTTTGGCATCCTCCATATCACAAGGCAAGTCTGTATGATATTTTTGTTTCTAATCCAAATATTTTATTTGAGCCTTCAAACCCTAAATAAAACCATCCGCCACCTTCTAATTGATTTTGCAGTTCTAGCGGCTTTAACGATTTCGGACCCGTTATCGAGGCCAGCCAATTAATCATGGTATCTCTCTACTTTCTTTCTCTTCTCCTCTCGTTTGATGGTGGATCGATTTCTAAGATAATGAGAAAATGAATATTGAATCAGGAGCGGATGTATAAACATAATTTATGTTGTTAGTTTTATCTGAAATATTCTGTATCCGTCTCCTCCGTTTGGTAATTTGATTCCAGATTGATTATGGATCATGTGTTTAATTCAAAGATTCATCTCGTTCCCAAATTTTCTCTGGCCGAAGTTTTTGTCTAGGGGAATATAATGTATCCATCTCCTTCATATTTATTCTAAACATATTGGGTTCTTGATGCTGGTTTCTTTCCCTCTGCCTTTTTAAAGCCATTTGAAATCAAGCATATTCCAAGTGTGTTTGTTTATCATGTGTCATATTATCTCTCTCTTGAGTGTACATTGATCTTTTACCAATCGAATCAGTGCTATTCTTATTTACTCCTGCTTTGTCGATAACTTCAATTTTGACAGAGGAGAGGAGTAGATATTGTATTGCATAATTTTAAAATCGTCTTATTCAGTTTGACAACTTCCTATAAGAGAGCCTCTTTGCTTGTATGTATTTGGACAGGCTGCAAAAATTCTTGCCAATTTAATTGTGATGGGCTCTGGGATACTTGCTAGGGCCTTTGTTCAAGCCTACCGTCAAGCCCTTACGAGTAAGTACACTCTTTTTATTCCACTCGTGGGTTTTTATCTCTATTGGAAGTTGGCCAATTTGCCCTCAATATTATGGTTATTGGTGTATATTTTTTTTGGATGCCTTCATTGAAACTTGACATGTAGAACAAAATAACTTGCACCTTGTCTTTGAACTATTAGAAGCTTTAATGTAAATGGGGCAAGTTTGGGGACAAGCATTTTGCCAATGAGAACAAAGCTCTGTGTGCACATAGGTTAATTTTGCTTCAGGTGATATTGGAATAGACATCATTTTTTTTTAAATGTGCTTGGTGGATGTTAACATCCTGAAGTTCTATTTTTTTTAAATGCCTTAGATTTTCTATAATTGGTCAAGAGAATATGTTATTTTGTAGCCTGTGATATGTATAAGGGTTGAGTGTTAATAGCCTGCAATATAGCATCCTGTAGTTCCATTGTAACTGCCCAAGCCACAGATATTGTCTTCTTTGGGCTTTTCCTTTTGATCTTCCCCTCAACGTTTTTAAAACTTTAAAACACGTTTGTTGGAGAGGTTTCTACACCCTTGTAAAGAATGTTTCGCTCTCCTCCTTAACCGATGTGGGATCTTACAATCCACCCTCTTTTGGGGTCCAGCGGATGCTGGCACTCGTTCCATTCTCTAATTGATGTGGGACCCCCTCAATCTACCCCTTTCAGGGCTCAGCGTCCTTGCTGGCACACTGCCTCATGTCTACCCTCTCCAGGGTTCAGCCTTCTCGTTGGCACACTGCCTCATGTCTACCCCCTCCAAGACTCAGCCTTCTCGCTGGCACACTGCCTCATGTCTACCCCCTTTAGGGCTCAGCCTCCACGTTGGCACATCGCTCGATGTTTGGCTTTGATACCATTTGTAAGAGCCCAGGCCCACCACTAGTATATATTGTCCTCTTTGGGCTTTCCCTTTCGGGCTTCTCCCCAAGGTTTTTAAAACGTGTCTGCTAGGGAGAGGTTTCACACCCTTACAAAGAATGTTTCGTTCTCCTCTCCAACCGATGTGGGATCTCACATCCATCCTTTACCTTTATGGTCAAGCTTGAAAGACTAAATATTATCTTCCTCATCTTTGAAAAAAATGTTTTTATTTCTCGAGCATGTGGTGTGAGAAGTGATTTACGGACCACAATTTGGTTAGAGATGCTTCGGTGTAGTTGTGTTGTAATCTATTGAACATGCACTTGGATAAATGTAGTTGTTTATACCAAGTTTGTACTTTTTAATGAGGGAGAGTTTGATATTGTAGTTGAAGATGATTATGCTGGATAACAAGTCTTTTTTCGTGTGGTGTAGATGCTTCGAAGTCCGGTGTTGCTCAAGAAACAATTCAAAACACCGTTCGCAGAGCAAGCAAAGTGATGACAGAGCAAGAAGCCAGGCAGATTCTTGGCGTCTCCCCGGAAACGCCTTGGGAGGAAATTGTGAAGGTCAAATATCTATTGCTTTTCACTAAAATAAGTTCCTTACCTTGTATATATCATTATGAATAGGTCTTTGACAATCCTTGTTATCTTTTCAGAAATATGACGCTTTGTTCGAAAAGAATACCCAGACTGGAAGCTTTTATCTTCAGTCAAAAGTTCACAGAGCCAAGGAACGATTAGAAACTCTGTATCAGAGCAAAGGTCAGGATGCCCCTAGCTGAGGAATGTGTTGTGTTTTGCAAATTTAGTGTTCTTGTATAATTCTTAATTTTGTGATGGCCGGCAGCATGGCATGATTGATGAAATTGATGTATAATCTTTTCTTCCTCTTGTGGGAAAAAGTGACGTTTAAAATAGTATTTTTGATCAGGATGGCTTGAGAGCACCTAAATTTAATTTGTTTACTTCTAATAATTTGTAAACAATTATTTGTTACGCACATGCCTGAAGTAGAGCACGGTCATTGTCCGATGAAATATT